CTAGTAGTAGAGGTAAAATACACTATCTTTGTTTCTTCTTTTCCCCTTCATAGGTGAAGTAAGGCTAAGATTATTCTAATTAATTGTTCCCACCCCGCGCGCCCACCCACGGAAAGCGGCGTACTTTTTTTCTTTTTTTGAACGCGCATGCTGGCAACAGCCGCCCTCCCATGGTTTTCTGGCCCCGTTGTTTCGGTTCGGCGCTTCGCCTTTGCTTCCAGCAGTTCTTTTGGGCCGTTTGCGTGTGGAAAAATAGTGTTCCTTGGGGGGCCGGGGTCCCTCGCTCTAACGCCGTGAGTTCGGGCCAAATCGCCCACAGAAATGGGGCAACCCCCCACCCCCACCCTCTCTTCTTTGAAAACCGGGGCCCAGAAGCGCAGGCGCTGAACAATGCCACGCCCTTTGTTTGCCCTCCGCCGCCATGGTTGTTTCCGCCCCGCCTCGAGGGAATTTCTCGGTTTTCAAAAGCCCCAGCTGGGGCTGGTTTGTCCCGCTTGTGTTGGCCCGGGGGTCGGGGGAAATGAAGAGCATGGCAAAAGTTGGGGATTCTTTGGGACTACGCGTTGGAGGGGGAAGAAAAATGTAGCTGGTATTTTGGTTTTCCATGTTATTTTTCCTTTATGTTTGCGGGCGCCGCCGCTTGAATTACGATATACGCTGCTGATCGAAATGCGAGGCCCCAGAACCCAAACCGACCAGCTGCACAGGGGCAACGCGCATCTGCGGAAACGGAATGGCATCGATTGCTCTTCATGGGGTGTGGCCAGAGGGTTTTTTTTTTGTGATTTTCCACTCTCCTTTGACGCTTGCCGAAAGAATATCCGGTTATAAGTTGCTGCGTCTGAGGGTTGCAATTTTCCAGGGCCAAAATTCCATAATCCTTGTATTCAAATGTTGCGTAAAATGAAATCTTTTTTTTTTGACATTGCTTCGCGGGGTTGTAGTTCTAGATGTTCCGGTTGGCAGATTCAAATGGAATGTGTGCGAACGTTCCTTAGCGTCGCGTGTTGAAGAAGTGGATGAAATTAATTCAACATAGGCACCTTTGCCCGCACAAGCCCCGCCACCGCCTCAGCCAGGGGGGAAAGAAAGAGTTCGTGAAAACCAACGCCCTATATGGCCAAACCCCGCCCCCCGACACCCATCGGTTCAACTTTTTTTGCAACAATCGCTAGTTGTATGGGCTCTTTTTTTCCATCTATATTCTAGTGGCACCACTCTTGTTTAGTCCCCATTTTCAGGTTTCCCATTTGAACGCTGTAATGCCGCTGCGCCGGGCTGGGGGCT